ACCACAGGCTGATGTACATGCTATACCCTGATTCTAAGAAATCGCATTTCACATTTTTTTTCAATAATGAGGAATAGGACACTTGCCCCCGAGTATGAATGTCAGTTGGTCGAAGTACACGTGTCTGTACACAGTAAAATGCCTGAACAGGAACTAGAAGACCTTTCGGAGCTGCTTAGACCAAGACGAACAATCCCTCAGTCTTGGATTCTCTACCTTCTATGGAAACAGATAGCATTTTAGAAAAATAGTTCTAAGTTTTGGGAACAACCAGTATTGTAGTAGTTCAGAGTTACTCTGAAGGATGTCACAGACTCAGCGGCTACACATGTCTGTTTCAAACCGAACCCTTAAACATGATTGCAAAAGTAACAGTCTGGTCTTTGGCTAAGGACAGATCACGTATTCCTTAAATAAGGACCTGCAGGCCTCTCCTCTCAGAAATATCCACCACTTAACTCACAGTAAGTGCCCGAAATAGTGAAGAAAATATGAAATATGAAAATTACTATGAAATAGTAATATATGAAATGTAGTATGAAATTTATAGTACATATGAAATTTACTATGAAAATAGTAAAGTTCTTCCGTAATGTGTTCAGTCAATTTCAATCACCAGTTGTCTTGCAGTATTTTTCAACCATTTCCTTCCGAAGGCTAAAAATGTCTTCTATTTTACATATTTGAGCATTGTCGCCTGTCACACACATACACAAATTGTTGTTTAAAAGCTGCCATGTTCAAATTGAAGTAAGACTTATGCTTACAGTGGTAAATATTCCTGGATTAATAGAGTTGTAGCAGACACACACCGAAAATTGACTGAAGTCTGTGATATTAAAAAGACAGAAAATTTATCTAGTTTTAGCAAATGTCAAATCAGCAGCTATTGCTTTTAAGATTAATAAAAGATGTAATGGTTTCTAGATAGCCTCTAAATAGAGATTACTATGAATGGAGAAGTGATTTACCAACAGTCACCACAATGAGATTTCTTTAAAGGTTACAATCATCAGTTATTTAGCTGAAACACTGCTGAGAATGCCTGGTCATTTCTTGAATAATGCATAATGTTCATTGTAGATTTGATCTGTATTATAACAATACAGATATTTCTAAAATCATGGAAAAAACTATCTGTTACCTTCCAATTGCTTAACATATCATTTCCATGAAGTAATTGACTCAGGACATATTACACACTGTCACCTGAGTGTTCTTTCTGCAAGCATAACTTGTAATAATCTATACAGAATGGGCATCACAAAACAAACTCATCAACCTTTATAGACATTTAAGAAAAGATGTGATGAATACAGGGCAGAGTGAAGGACCTTTCTGAAGCAGTAAATTAAAATGATTAAATTTCTATATAGTTGTGTGGGACAAATTTAAATTTAAGCTTTGAAATTTAATTATTAACAGGAACAACTCATCACATTAAAAAAAAAAAAAACATTGCCTACATCGTGTAAGTACTTTTCATATAAATTTCCAAACGCCTTTAGGTTTATTCAAGAGACTGCTTGGAGAAGCACCAAGTCTAATGTCTATCGTTTTATTGTTGGATTATGAACTGCACTTCACATGATGCTGCAGGCTATTTATATAAGCTTGTTTATCCACATGAACTTCTTCAAGGGCACAACACAGAAGACCTTAATAAATTAAAATGAATTTCTTTTGATGTTGTTTCATGAATGTTTGATCAGAATGAGTAACAGGTTTGCATTAAAGAATGAGAGTAGAGCAATAAAATATACACATACTGTACAGGAGAACCAATTCACAGAAAGTGTCCACTGCATTCCTAGCAACTTTTGAGAGCCAGCGTCAACTGGATAGAGTCACTATGCTTTACACCTTCACTATCATCAGTTTACTGATAGTGGGAGTACACATGTACCGAATTGGATGTTCTGCCATTATCTGGATGGAATTCGCAAAATAATAAAATCTGTTATCTCCTTCCAGACTCTTAAATATCCACCCTAACCTCCCCATTTTTCTCCTTGACATCAGTATGTCCTTTCATAGACTGAAATGCCCACAAGAGCAGAGACCATATTTTATTGTTTTTTATCCATCTTGATCATAAGTAGTTTAGAGTTTAACTGACTGAAGTCCATAAAGTAAAAATGAATGATCAGTCACAGTCAGAAGCTGAGAGAATTCTCACCTGGCATGCTTGATAAAGGGGATGCAAATCAAATAAAATTTCTAGAAATGATATGATGTGATAGAGCACTAGACAGAAAGGTGAAACAGTGGAATCTAGCTTAAGATCTGCTACTACTTAACTGTAAACTGTTTCTGTATCATTTCCCTGGTCTATATATGAGGGCATGGTTTTACATGAGCTGTAATTTTGCATCTCTACAAGGTCATGATTCCAAAAGTAAGCAAGGGGAGGGTGCCAGGGTGGCTCAGTCAGTTAGCCTCCAACTTCCGCTCAGGTCATGATCTCGTGGTCCATGAGTTTGTGCCCCTTATGGAGTTCTGTGCTGACAGCGTGGAGCCTGGAGCATGCTTCAGATTCTGTGCCTCCCTCTCTCTCTGCCCCTCCCCCACTTGAGCTTTGTCTCTCTCTGTCTCAAAAATAAACATTAAAATTTAAAAAAATAGGGGCGCCTGGGTGGTGCAGTCGGTTAAGCGTCCGACTTCAGCCAGGTCACGATCTCGCGGTCCGGGAGTTCGAGCCCCGCGTCAGGCTCTGGGCTGATGGCTCAGAGCCTGGAGCCTGTTTCCGATTCTGTGTCTCCCTCTCTCTCTGCCCCTCCCCCGTTCATGCTCGGTCTCTCTCTGTCCCAAAAATAAATAAACGTTGAAAAAAAAAATTTAAAAAAATAAAATAAAATAAAAGTATCACGTTGCAGAATAATGGACAAACCATGGAACCACTTTTACTTTGGTAACCACCACTACCAAGGCAGCCTATAAACTGCCAGCTCCTTTAAAAAAGAGAAAAATGGAGGTGTGCCTGGATGGCTCAGTTGGTTAAATAACCAACTCTTCATTTCAGCTCAGGTTATGATCTCACAGCTCCTGAGTTCGAGCTTGACATTGGGCTCTGCGCCAGCAGTGTGAAGCCTGCTTGGGATTCTCTCTCTCTCTCTCTCTCTCTCTCTCTCTCTCTCTCCTCCCCATCCCTCCCTCCCCCCCCTTCTCCCACTCAGTAGCTATTTCTCTCTCAAAATAAATGAAGAAGTGGTAATAAAAAGATAACTGTGCTAAACCACCTCATACAAGTTCAGTCCCTTAATCAGTCCATTTCAAAGCGAAGAATAAGGATGTATTTTGTACATTCTGTGACTTCTACCCTGTTGCACCTACCCTTTCATCTTGTATGATTTGGAATAAACATGAAGGCAGTCTAATGAATAAACTCTTATGGATACAGTATATTTACTAAGATTATATTCACATCTTCAGCTTGGGAAAATTTGCCACAACTTTAGCATCTGGAACACAGATTGATATATTACCAAGTTGACATCTACATTTTTAAGGTGAGAAGGGCTGAAAAGGGACAGCATGAATGTGCCTTAGTTTATCCATACTGTGCTATGTTACACTGACATCCAGCCCTTGACAGCTAACTCTGTTCTATGTTCTCAGCTTCTGAATGCCATTCTTACACTCTAGAGAGATAATCTGTAAACTATGGCTTGTGGGCCAAATCTGGGGGCAGCTGCCTATTTTGTTACGCATGGTTTTATTAGAGCACAGCCACACCCTGCTGTTTACATATTGTCTATGGCTGAGTTTGTGCTACTGTGGCACAGTTCAGAGCCCCTCAAAGCCTAAGCCTATATATTTCCTATATAGTCATTACAGAAAATATTTGCCCTGCTCTAGAGGAAAACAGCATCTAGAATTTAAATTCTGATTTTCCTTCTCTCGTAAGCGTAAGAAACATTGCAAGTACCAATGGCAGAGATATAACCAGATTCACACATGTATGGACACACATATGATGACACTTCTAAGCACACAATTGTAAATAGTCATTGCTTTGGATCCTTCATTTTAATATGTATCCTCTAAGAGGTCAGGGCTCCCTATTAGAACCCTTTCGTACAAAAGCCATGAGCACAGGGACTTCAAAGGTCACTGTTAAGGTGTCATCACTTAACAAAAGAACCTAATTCCTCTCCCAGAGTTGCCCACAATTTTCCCAATTATCCAGCTTATGCCCACCAAGGGTCTAGAGACAAGGTTAGAGCACAAGAAACTAGCAGATCCCTTAAGTCCTAAGCCTTGAATAACACATCGTTTAAGACAGAGAATCAATGGCCAATATCACATATACATCAATAAAGATACGCATGCATATTCACATGCTAAACATGCTATAAATTACTAGAAGTTTCACTAACACGTAAGAAATACCTCTCTTGCATATCAGAATGAAGGCCTAACATCTTTCATTAGTGAGTTTTAAGAGTGACTGCACCAAGGATCGGGAGGACAAACATAGGTTTAGATTTACAAATCTTGGGCATTATGTATGGCAACTTGAAACATTAACATGAATTATTTGTTTTATTAGTCAATAAAATCATTACTCAAAATGCCTACTACAGTTGGGCTCAGCTTCCTTCCTTTCTTTGGTTACTAAAGACAGAAGACATTAGTTCCACCCTTTAACAAATATTCTTGTACTCCACCCATCAGTAATAATTTGCATGAATTAGCATAACGCAAATTGAACCCAAGAAGCATTTTAATGTAAGTCATTTCATTCTCCTTTCTCTGAAGCCTTGCTTCAAGTGATAGAATATTTAGGCTGACAGACGTTTTGAAAATAAAAAAGAAATAGAAGAGGTTTATTTCACCTTCACATGGTGTCTTTCTCATGCAGAGTTCAGATTTCCACATTTGTATCCCTTTAAAGGATTTGATATGCAGGAAAAGAAGAAAGGATGATGGTAAACATTTCATCTTAGAGACACCTATCGACCACCATATTCCAGAACAAACAGGGGCTTAAAACTTACCTTTTACTGATGTGTTAGGTGGAGGGCCTTCCATTCGCAAGTTCCACGGAGGGTCCCCTTGGTTAGCAAAGTCCCTCATTTTCAGATAGCTAATTGTAAGTCGAATGATGGATGCCTTGTCAAGCTGGCTAGTGATGGCTGCAGGAAGAGGCAACAACTTGGCCAATTCATAGAACTCAAAATTTTCTTTTCCCCGGCGGGAGCGAGCAGCATCTCGGGATTTCTCCTTTCTCAATGCTTGTAAACTGAAATCAAAGGAGTGAAAAAGTGCCATTTAAAACGTGTGCTTCTGACATCAGGTAGAAATTGTTTCCTTTTCATTTCCTTCCTCCCCCCAGCAAAAATCTACCAAAATCTTCTTTCAAATCCAAGGGCCGTAATAAAATGATTTCTATACAACGTTCACTAAAACCAAAAATTCTACCTCTGGATTTAAACTTACATGCAGTAATAACAACAAATAAACTTACAGGCAGTAATAACAATAGCTTGCTTGTTAGGTTTTTCCCTTTAATTGGCCATGCATTGAGATACATTCTTTGTTTCTAAGACATAAGATTTACAGGTAATACTTGGTGTTATCAGCTATAAGCAGCAGAAAAGATGAGGCTAGTATTCATATATTTATTCTCAGGCTAATGATTTTGTTCATTTAATTGTTATCACTGTGAGATTTTAAGGTACCAAAAGCACCTTTACTTCAATTATCATCATGGGGAACAAAGGGTAAACATCAACGTTTTATTTGTTGATTCTATGAAGTGTGTTTATGTGCCTCTAGCCCTCAATAAGGATCATGATCTTAAGTCAGATATAGAAAACATCACACTGAAAATGAAGATTTCAATATACTTAATAAATATGTTGATAATTGGTTGATAAGAGAAAACTTTAATTCTTTATGAATGAGTACACATTAGTAGATGGATAGATTCTCTAAAATACTCAAGAATAAAATGCATCGCCTGGAGAAGTCAAACTTTAAGATAATATAAATTTAATGTTGAAAGATAAAGCCCTGTATGGGTTATTAAAATTTATAAACATTATAGACATATTACTTCACAGAAAAGGCAACAGGTGGGATCCAGCATTTTCCTTTAACTATTCATGTGCATTTCTGTTTGAAGTTTGCTCACAGTGCTGAGGGCAGAATCTGGCACAACTGAAGTTGTGTTTGAGCATCTGACAGAATTCCACCTGTTCTGAATGGCTCTGTTTTGTGTCTGACAAGAAATCAAATCAAAATAAGACCCTGATGATAAGTAATTGGGCAATATTTACAGTATCAAGGTACTATTAAAATCATTTGTAAGTATCCATTTCATTGAACTCCAAAGGCATTTTGAATCTTTGAACCTAGCTTTCTGGTTTCCCGTTATAAAATAACCAGAAAGAGAGAAACAAGCAAGGAAGCAAGACCAGAGCAATAGATCAAAATGAGTTCAGCAGTGTAGCTCCAATATCCATTAGTATAATATGGACAAGAACATTTCATATTACATTATAGCGTACCTGATGGTGTTCATGGTAGAAACACTGTACTCACTGCACTCTGAATATCTTATTGAGCATCTACATAATTTAAGTAATGCCATCACACCCTGATCAAATACTCACTAAGCCAACAACCCCACCAGTTTCACTCTTAATAAAATATTCTACATTAGCTAACCAACCTATTTCTCACAACTAGACAAGTTAACGCTACCGTTTTCAGAGTCACGGCAGTCTCAAATGAAAACCTTTGTCCCTTAATGTCTCAGGTGATAACCTCTGGGAGAAACATTGCTAATTCACAAGGGAAAAGCATGGCATGCCACTTGTTTCCCCAAATCGTGGCTGCCCTTTACATGATTTTATAAATTGGCAATTTTGGCTTCATGAAAATTGTGTAAATAAAGTGAGAGATGCCTTACAATCTGATAAAGTGTAAGTATACCCAGGATCTGGGTTAACATCTTTGGGCAAAACAACCATTCATGCCCCTCCCTTTATGTAATAAAAGCAATCTATCTAACACCACTTAGGTCAGCTGTGCCCAAAGAACTAGGTCTTTTGAGATGTCTTCTCTACCTCTTGTGGAGTGCAGTGGTTCAACTTCAGCGCTTTGCTCTTTTTGTGTTCTTGTAATCAAACAGTACTCCAGAAGGTGGGCTCAACTTACAACTGTTGTTGTTCAGTAAGTGACTATGATGGAGCACTAGAGCAGAGGTTGTAAACTGAAGGGCCCCTGGGGTTAAGGCAGCGAATGTCAATGAGTGAAGAGGCCTGATGGCAACTGTGGGGCAGGAGAGGACAACAGCTCAGGCACACACAGTCTCAGTGGACTGCTGCTCTGGAGGAGGGCGCACCTGCTGTCGTCAGATTCCCAGTATTGTTGTTTCTAGAGAACAAAATCTCAATTTTTAAATGGCATTTCCAATTTTATGTTATGTTTTAATTTTATGTTAACCAATTAAAGTTTTAAAAAATAATGCAAGCCTAATAAAACCTGTCATTTGGTCAGTAAATGAGGAGGGATGCAGTTTACAATTGGGTAAGAATTTGGGAGGCCAATTTTGAAAGGCACTTTTACATGGATGTTCTATGTAACTTTCCCTTTATACATGTCACTCAAAGCATCACTAATAGGCTCATCTGTTATCTCATTAACATGACTAATTTTCATACCAGGAATTTCTTTATTTGACTGAAACAAGTAGAACATGAGGCCATTATCCTGAAATTGCTATTATTGCATAGGCTTAGCAATAGTTTAAGGAAAAAATCTAATTCTATGGGGGTAGGTGGTAAGAAAAAACCAAGATCACGGGGAACAACTCAATGGACTCCAAAGGTAGAGGACAAATGGCTTCTTATTTCCACTCCAGAAAGGGGAATGCATGGACATTAATGCCTTCAGAAGCTTGCCCAAACACTGTCCTCTGATATTTGATTTATCTAAAATACCACTGAGCCAAACTTACTTCATGTGTTCCTGACCCACCTTCTTGTTTTTCTCCTCTCCTCCCCTACACATTTTTTTTGTGGTTTTTTGTGTGTTTTTTTAATTTTTTTTTTTTTTAACTCAAACACTCTGTGTTACCCTACTCCAGTAACTGGCCTGGCCATAATCTTAATAACAAGGGTTTTTCATTATACAGACCTCACAGTTCAGAAGTCTTTCAGAATGACAGCACTGTATCTATAATAAGTAGTAATTGGCTTTAAGGGCAACAGCAATAAAATGCAGTCAAAGGATTACAAAGGTCATAGAGATGTTGATAGAATAGATTAAGCTAAAGATGTGTAGACAATGACTCAGACTGTAGATTAATCTTATGCCTGCTTTTGGGAAGTACAGCTTAGTTGTAAGCAATTCTCAAATAGAATTAAAGACTACATTAAAACGTAAAATAAACTATGTGTTTGCATTCTGTTCTAAACCAAAAATTATGGTTGTATTTCTACAATACCAAAGAAAGACAGGAAATCATGAATATAACATTATGATCCTAATCTGTGCCATATAAAAAATGATTAAACTTCAGATCAACAAGAAATGACTCCCAAACTTCCCACTGCTCTGATGTTCTTCCACCTAGTCTTTGGGTAACTTTGGAAAAGGAGACTCTTCCTTGATCCTCAGCAAATCAAAATTTCAGTTCTCTTTGATGACAATCTTATCATCCTCACCAATAATTACCAAAAACCAAACAACAAAATCAGCAATTTCAGAAGATATATATATACACACACGTGTTTTATTTATTTATTTATTTATTTATTTATTTATTTATTTATAAATCTAGAAGTCCTTTGCAAACTGTGTATATATTTGGGGGAAGATAGTAAATGATTTTCAGATTCTCCAAAGGGCTTCTTCACCCAAACAAAAGGATAATACTCTAGTATCTAGAATTTCCTCTTATAAAACTTGTAAAGTTAGACTCTCCACTCTTATTGTCATTGATGTTACCATAATTAACTTTCCTAAACAACACTGTTGGCATAATGCATGTTTCTGCTTAATGCTTGGCAACAAATTTTCCATGTTTCTGAAGATACACCTTTAACCATAGGTAACAAGCCATCAAAAAATTACTAGTAATGAAGATTTAGAGGACAATGCTTATTGAATGTAATTTTTTAAATCCTCTCATATATTTTAAGTTCCCTGGCAAGTTTTCTGGCAAAAGTCCTGATGAAGGAATTATAAGACCCATCCTAGCCATTCACAAGCACTGTGATTTTCAATAACAAATCTGAGCCTCAATGTTATTATTTTACAACATGAGGATGGCCAACAAATCTCCTGGACCAGTGCAGTGGCTCATACGATAGTTTACCATTTACTACCATGGAAACTAGGAATCAGTGAACCTCTTAGATAATTCTAGATTTTACAAATTAAGATAGTTTATGAACTCTAAATGGGGCAGAGACCACTTGAGAGTTTTACAACAAAGAAAAATTTTAAGAAGTTGCAAAGATTTAGGAATGCTGACAGTATAGTCAACCCATCTGAAAACTTTCTTGGAAACCACAGAGATTAGGAGTGCGGGTTCTACTGCCAAACTGTGGGTATTGGCACCAACTTACAACTACCATGTCGTCAACCTTCACTAGGTGTCTCAACCTCCTTAGGCCTCAATTTCCTCCTGTGGAAAATGGATGTGATAATTTTATCTACTTCATAATATTCATGAGAGTAATTGAGCCAATATATGTAAAGTACAAAATGCCTGTCACGTGGTAAATAGTATCTAAGCAACAACTATTAGCATAATAATCATGAAACTTTTTTATCATAAAACTTATCTAGAGGAAAAAAACCCAACTGTTTGAATCCTAGTGCCCCATCTCATTACTATAGTATTTCTCTCTCCATAATTCTTTATAAGTTTATTTGACCAGGCTTCCTTTATACATCTTACAGTGTCTCTAATTCTAAACTGTTGGCTTTTTTCATTTGTCCTCTCGAACTCCATTCTCTATTGCCACTTAGGACCTTCACTTAGTAATTTCCCATGTAGTGACCGTAGAAATCAAACCAATGGGAATACAACCAAAGGCCTAACTTTTCCTTGATGACAACCCTAAAACTGCCTACTAAACTCCTTTCATGTTTTCTCAGATCATGATTATCACTTTAAGCTCTGTTTGATGCCTCTCTCAGCATGTCTTCCACACTAGCAAAAAGTAGAGGTGAAATTTAAATGCATGGATTATGGAACCCGAGTACCTGTATTTAAATCTCAGT